CACAATGCCGCCCCGAGCGCCTCTGCCGGCGACGGCGCCCAGGATGTAGCCGAGGGGCCGCGACGAGGATTCAGAGAAAACCAGGGGGAGAGTAAACAGCAAAATGGGTAGGTGGGATTTTTTTTTTTGCTGTGAGGGTCTTTCCTCGCAGGAAAAAAGCTGGGCTTGTTTAAGGGCTAAGTAAAACACATCTTGGAGGAGTCGTTTAATCCTCAGAAGCGAATCTCTGAGGAAGGACTCGCATCTTAAAAGGGATGCTTTGAAGGGCCAAGCCAGACTTTCGGTGACGATTTTTCTCAGGATTGACATTATATCGGTTTATAGAGTGTCAAAGGTAAATTGAATCAGACCACAAAATGCTTTACACGATGGCTTGTATCACGATGTGTTCTGGACCTTACAACAAGCCTGGTATTAATTTCAATGTCCGTGTCTCACTGTGTATTTTGACTCCCGATATGGGTGACTGAAAGCAGCAGGCACTCAAAAATGCAGAGCGGTCTGTCAAGAAGGGTCGGTGGGTGCTGCAGTGGCTGGGAATGAGATGCTCTGAAAGACCAACCATGGCCCCGGCAGGACCGGTGGAGAAAGGTCCCAGAAGGGAGGCAAAGGGACAGTGTCGCATTACTTCTCTGCACAGCACCTGAGAAACTTTAAGATGCGTTCAAGGAAGCTGGCGGGGTTGAGCAGATTTTTTTGCAGCGTTATAATGTAAATACCTCAACTTTAAATGTTACCTTAACCCTAAAAAAGCAACACAGATTTAAAATTTGAGTCATTTTCGTATTCAAATAATTATTTATGTTAAAGTGGATATCGGAGACCTAACATGTAAGGGTCTGTATGGCTGCATAAAAGGCTTATACTGTATCTGGTGTAGCGTCTAGTCTGGTAAACACTAGATTAGTAAATTAAACTGATCCCGGCAGCAATACTGGGCGCTCGGGCCTGCACCGCTGCCCTCTTTCAGTGGCAGGTTTTTGGCTGGGGCCGCCTCGGGCTCTCCCAGAAACTCCTGTGCAGGGCTCGGGAGCTGAAGCACCCCAGGGGCCCGTTCCCAGCGGCTGCTGTGCCATGGGGAGAGGAGGAGGCTGGGCGCAAGTGGTCCCATGCCAGTTGGCCTCTGTGCCCAGTAGCAGGTCTGGCAGATTGAATTAAGTAATAAAAAGGGCAGGACGGGAACTGTAGGTTTCTCTTCAGTCTTAAGAAGGTAAAACCTGTGCTTAAAACCTAAAAGCTGTGGTTACTATTTCCCATCCCTCAAAGGAAAGGGGCTGGAGGAATAGGCCTAGTGCCTCTCACCTCTGATAGTCTCTCAGTATATAAAGTATATGAAGAATCCTACAGAAAGGTAAACATCCACGTCAACTAAAATACAGAATAAATTGCAGTTTCAGTTGAGTTTCTCATGGGGGAAAAAAACTTCTTTAGGTACCTATTCCCTTTATATTGCAGCGCGAATATTTTCCATATGTGGAATCATATAATGCAGTCCGTATGCATTTTATATCACACTGTTGTCATGGTAACTTCCAGCCCTTTCTTAAACAGCTGATGGCAGGAGTCCATGCTATGTAGAAGTGGGATGAAATCGGGAGATCCCAGAGACTTGCTCGATGATGGTAGACTTGTCGAATACACTTTGGCAAACTGTCTCTATCTTTCCATGAATGCTGTTTTAGCAGATACTGTGTAAGGAGTACTCAAAAGCAGCAATTAGTACTGAAAAAGATGAACAATAGCAACAAAATTAAGTCTCCTGGAAGGAAGCGCTGCAGGCGTAGAGTAAGCACTTGACAATCAAGATAGGATGACGGGGCGAGCGCTGTTATGTGCCCTGCCTCACGGTTACGGGATGAATAATACCGACTGAAGAGTATCACAGCTGACAGGTGAAGAAATCCCTGTCTCACTGCCAACCTTGCAGATCTAGTTTGGGAAAGTTTGAAAACATTTAGAGCTGTAAAAACGTACTTTATTTTGGCATCTTTCTTACAATAGTGTGTTTGGGCTGTCTAACTGTCTTGCAGTCCTAAGGTAGAAAACAAAAACAAGCAAACAAAAACCCCTAAAGTGGTTATATCAGTCTGCCACTACACTACTTATTTAGTTTTACTTACAAAAATTACATTTCTACAATGATGCTTTAACTATCTCCCCATTTAAAATTGAATCAATGACATTTATGAAATAGCAGAAACATTGAAGTTTGGAATAATTGATCAGTCTGAAATAAACTCCATTTTGCTTCTGCGTTTTGTATTACTCATTTTTCTCAAAAAATAAAAAAGGCAACTTGTATCGTGTTCATAGACAGCACTGCTGAGCAAATGCAGTTCTTCAAACATGCACTTTGTCGTACTCAGAATTTCCTCTCTTCCTCCTGCCACCCATCAAACCACATTCAGGATATAAACTATTTGCCTTCACTTCAGGATGGGGAAGGAAGTTTTGTTTCCCTTGTTTAGTCCTGGCTTAGAAAGAAAGTAATTTGCCTTCACTAGGCTGCGTGCAGTTACGCTTTTATCAAGACCTTCTTGCCAACTCATGCATGAAAATGTGCCTGCTGCTTTAAACAGGTAAGATGTCCACAGACTTCACTCAGTTTAAGCTCAGCTGGGCTAAATTTTTCCCTTGTAGGTTCTCTTGATATTAAGTTTGACTTACATGATATATGGCTTTACCAGAGCTTGGATTTGGAAACTCCTGTAATATTTCAAGAAGCAAAGAATGTATTAACACATCAAATACTTTTTTTCCCTTTCAGATAACAACAGTGACAAAGTTAGTATCAACAGCACTGGAGTTGAATTATGGTTGTTTTTCCTGTGGGAATAACCAGCATGTATTCTTGTTTTGCAAAATTATAGCTCTTAGAGTTTTATATTTAAATTTTGCAAAACAGCTTCAGCTTTTCTTAGTAACTTCTTAGTGTAGTAAATGGTTTTGTCTGCATTGGACATGATGTGATCTTGCTTTTCATGTGTTAAATTTTGCAGCTTTTTTTTTTTTATTCCACAAAATATTTGTGTGGTGTTTGTGTGTATTGATAGATTCTTGGTGCACCTGTGGCTAATTGGTGTTAGTAATACAAGTAGTGAATGGTGAAATATAGCATAAAAGCAAAAAATGGCTTGAGGACTATGGAATGGAGGGCCTAATACTGAATTCATACAACAAAAATAAGAGTAACATCCATATACTGTGATTTGTGCATGTTAGGGATGATAAATATGATTGAGGTTTTATTGGCTTCTCCCCTTGCCTCAAGGCTGAATGAAGGGAGAGCCTGTCTCGTTGGATTTTCCTTTGTCTCTGGCACCACCTTGTTGCCTCAATAAGTCATTACGAGTAGACTCTTAAGCCCTAAAAAACGGACCAGTAGGATCCGCAACAAGAGAAGTCAGCAGCATATACCACTTTTAATAAATGTGAAAGACTTATTTCACTGTAGTAGTTGCTAGAATGCAGTCAACTGCATGTAAATAATTACATTTCCATGTAGTTCTATACCTTTAATTACTGCTTTAATTTTCAGATTTTATTTTTGCTATTAACCATTTTGATGCTTTACTTCATTTTTCTCTGTACTTCTTGTACTCCATCCTGGAAATACCACTGTTTTTGTTTCTATACCCTTCCGTCTCTAAGTAACCGTGATAGGTACGTGTACTTCACTAATACTGTGTGTCAGTAAATTCAGTCTTTTACTATAATTTTGTATGATACCTTTCACCTCATTCTTTTAAGTATTAAGTATTCTTTTAAGCTTAAGTATTTACTAATGCATTCCACTGAATGGGCCTTATTCTTACTTGTTGACAATTAATAATTTATATCATTCTCATTCATATTTTCCACCTTTCCTTACCAGAAGCGCTTTGGGCATTAAAAATACAGTGGGAATGTAGAGGCAAAACCAGAAATTACTTTTAAAGGGATTTTTTCTGTAGAATTGTTATGTCTTAGGAGCTAGTTTTGTACAGTTAATCTCCTGTAAATTATGTAAAAATGAATGTATGTTTAAAGGGTCTTAAAGATTAGTGCTTTGGGATAAGGAATATAGACTTTAGGACTAATATACATAGTATGAATCTTCTATTATCTTTTCCTAAACTGATTAGTGCCATTACATGTTCTTTATATCAGTTACTGAAAGCAGAATTTTAAAACCTTGTATTCTTGCAAGGCTGCTAGCGTGGGGATTGATAACAGCATGTAGGCTACTGTCGGGAAAAGTGCCCCACTACTTTGACTTTCAGAGGGGGTATCAAGCATCAATATCTTCACATTCTACTCTAGAACATCGCTACCTACGCTTTCAGATGGCCGGGTTCTGATCCAGGCTTTGCCAACTGAAAAAGACTTGGTGTGTACTGGGTGGCCCCACAGCTAGTGCTTTGCCTCTTGTGAACGAAGGGGAAAATTTGTCTGGGGCACCTGAACTGAACTAAGTAGACTACTTTGCTTTACCAAAACAAACAAATCCCCCTCTTATTCCTGTAGCTAAATTGCTGTGAGTTTAATTTAAGTTTAAGTATGGGGGTTCTGTGCTGCGGTTTTGGTAGTAGAATGAGAATATCACTATTAATTGGATTTCAGTGCCCTTTCTCACAAAATTAATTCAATAGAATAATTAGCTGCACTTCTGTTTCAACTTCCTGACTTTATTTCTTGTTTTCTTTTTCTCCTTTTCCTGCTTATGCTGGGAAACCTTTCTCTTGCTGTCTTACTCTGTCATCTCCAAGGAAAAACCCACCCAAACGGTAAAGATTTAAACACATAAATGTCTTGATAATACTGGCTTTTACTATTTCAAATGTTCCAGCTGTGAAACAAGGAAAAATATTTCAGTCAGGTTAGACTGATTATAAAGCTGTGTTTGGTTCAGAGAACTGAATCCGTGTTCAGGTGTGCCTGTAGAGCTCACCGCTGCACATCCACATCCAAACGCAGAAGCTGCCTTTAAACGCTGTGAAAAGTTCATGTCTTTGTAGCTACCCCAACTCAGGTGGTCTCTCAAGCTTTTCACTCACTGCTCTCTCCTCTCCTTGGCATAGCCCGCCGCGGAAGCACATTGTGGATACCTATACAGAGTTTTACCACACACCCACCCACAGCGATGCCAGCAAGAAGCGACTGATCGAAGACACCGAAGACTGGCATCCCCGGACAGGCACCACCCAGTCCCGCTCTTTCCGCATCCTTGCCCAAATCACCGGCACTGATCGGAGTGAGTAGTTCGGTGTAAGCGAAATAAAAGTGATGGCCTTGGACAGATAGGTGTTTTTTAAAGAGTGAAAGGATTCGGTCACATCTCTTGCATTTTCCCTCTTGGATAATAAATCCAGTAGCCAGAATTTTGGTGAGCTCTTCAAAAGAAAAAAGTCTTAGAGGACTATAGTAGGAAAATATTTTTGTAGAACTCCTACGATTGCTAAATAGCTCAGGACATAGACATTACTGGACATTATTCCTGATTGAGTTGAATATTAATACATTCTAGATAAATACTAAAATTTCCATTTCTACTTCCAAAGATGTTGGCAGATATGTATTTGTTGTTTCTTTCGGCTCCCGTATCACCAAAATGGTGACATTCCTGTTCAAATTTAATGCCCCAGAAAAATTAAGGTGTTTTCAGGCATGTAGAAAATCTTTGACAGTCATACAAAGGTGTGTGATCTGCAATGACTTAACCAATCAGAAGCATAAATCCAAAGTTCCTCAGTTTATTTCCTGGTCATGTTTCCATCCTCTGCTTATGCTAAGGTGTGATCACCTGTACTGTGGACTGGAACAGATGATGCAGAGAAGGTCATTCCCAGTCATACAATTTTATGGTAAAACTTCAATTGCATATTATGCTGTCAGTTATAATTCATTGGCTGAGATCTGTAATGTTGCGTAAAAGCCATCAGAAGTGCCATCAGGAGATTTGAGCTCAGTCACGTTCAGACTGAGGCAGCTAATGTAGAGGTGATTATTTCATTCTTCTGCTTTTCACAATAAAGAAGGCAGTAAGGAAATTGGACCCCCTCCCAGGGCGAAGATTTTATTAAATCAACTATCAATTCTCTGGCAGCATTACTCTAGAAGCCAATGATAACATCTCCCCAAGTAAGGGTTATTGACCATGTGTGATAAATATTCTGAACTTGGACAATTACCTGATTGTTTTGTGGTAGTTGTGCTAGTCTATTAATGGATCATTGTCTGTCTTTGGATTCTCTTCATTAATCCTTGTAAGGGCAGAATATGAGACGTGAACATCAAATAACATGTCGTCCAGTACTGATGAGTTAATCATGTTGACAAATACTATCAGAAGGTGACTGCAGCTACATTTGCCAAACTTAAAATCAGGGCTGGGAATTTACATGATCCCATGTGCAGTCCTCTAGCACCTTGATGGTCACAGCCTGGCTGCAAACAGACACTTGGATTATCACCTGGTATAAACCCACTGGACGTTCGTCCAAAAGAAATGCCTCTAACTTCCATTCATCTTCCCCTTCTCAACTCACCTTTCTCAATGCCAACATGGAGAGTGGGCCAAGGGAAAGGGCAGAGACCAGCAGAGTCTCTTTTCAGCAGTCCTGCTGGCAAAGGAGCTCTTGAAGTCTATAGACATACCTCATTTCCACTGGGGCATATTTAGAATTGAGGAGTCCTAACGAGCCTTGTTGTAATCCCTGCTGTGGTGAATGCAGTGGCACAGGGGAGAATCTCAGTGTGTGGTGGTACAGTGCCTTTAGTGCCTTAGAAAATAAAAATTTTCTGTTTTCTTGCAGTGAAAGAACCAGAACATGAAGCTGCAAAGAAGACTAAGTGAGTTGATGTTTTACATTTTTATTACTTTAATACTTTGCATGTCTTAATTCTTAACTGATAGTGTTTGGTGCGTTTGTGTGACATCCGGGTGTTTTTAAAATGCTGCTTCTTTTTTTGCCTTCTACTTCAGCATGTAAAAATCAAGATCTTTTTCTGCATAAACCGACCTTTTTAAATCTGTTGGTGCAGTCCAGTATTAGTGTTTCTGCACGAGTTTGAGATTTTCCGTAATCTTGGACTGATTTCGTTTTCTGTACGAGGTCAGCTTGTCAACATGTTTTCCTAAATCTAACCAGGCATTTTTGATTTGCGAGCGCAGATCAGATTGCAAGGCATAGCTGGAAAGTATTACCGTTCTGGACTGCGAATGAGGGTCAGCTGTCTCCTTACTTTGGGATACGCATTGTTCAAAATGAGGACCAACCAGTGGCTAAATCTAATGGTTCTTGCAGTCAGTGGGAGTATTTCTACTGACTTTGCCTAACACTGGATCCAAGTTTTTCACAGAGAGGAAGGCAATGTGCGGATAGGAGTAGTGCATGGAGATTGCATGCTCGCTTGTGAAACTGCTTAAGACAAACTTTCTTTCTTTCTTTCTTATTTTTCTTCTATCACTTCTTTCCACAGGGAAAAGGTTCCCATCCACGTCTTTAGCCCCAAATATACAAAATTACGTGACTGGCACCATGAAGTCTCAGCACGTGTTCTTAATGTCCAGTGATTTTCCCAAGTTTGCAAAAGCAAAATAGAAACACTTTCTTCCTTTCTTCTTTTCCACCTGCTTTGCAAAAAAAAAAAAAAAAAAAAAATCAGAAAACGTATTTCACTAGCCTTACTGCGAGAGAAATTCTAGCCTTTTCTATACTTTTCTAACACTTTCCTACTGATGTGTAAAAAATGAGATGAAAATGTTTTTGTGCTTATCACTAGTTGACAAAAGATATGTATTTAAAACAGAACAACTTGGATGACTGAATCTCCCAACGTGGGGGAGGAGATGGCTGTTGCAGTTCTTTTTTTGCCTTAAAGGAGACATTTGCATTGCTGAGTTTGAGTTACTGTAGGTTGTTAGAAAGCAGAAAATTATGAACAAAAGAATAAGAAATTTTATTACTTTGATTTTGGGGCTGGGGGAAGAAGACAAAGACGGACTGTATGCACTTATTTCAAACTGTTGTACCTACCAGGATAATTATCTTGGATTTCACTAGATTTTCAGGAGGTCAATTTCAGAGTGGTTGTAAATGTTTTACAAAGTAGAGCAAGAAGACAGACTGCTTTTAAGCAAATAAAAAAATAATTTAAAAAAAAAAAAATCCAATGTTGTGAATCAAAGTGCAAGCTCAATATAAAGATTCTGCTTCTTAAACTAGTAATATGTTCATATTGTGGAAAACTTAGAAAAAAATGAGCAGAATGTTGCTGTGTACCTGTAAGAGCTTCAACACATCCTCTAACAAGAACAAGATAAGACGGTAGTATTTATTTATTACAGAGTGAAGCTCATAGGCTTTCTTGTGTTTATAAAAGCTTCATGGCCCTATGGTTCTCCTGTAAAATAATGTATTATAGTAGCTACACATTCATTAATTTATGCTTTCTGAAGCTTGAAGAATATTTTAATAAAAGTTGCTTTTATCTTAGCTCTGTCTGTTTTTCTTTTGAGTCTCTCTGACTCCTTGAATAGTCTTCTGAAGCATGGAGCTGTAATTTCATTGCACCTTCACAGATTATAGTAAGAGAAACAATTAAATCCCTGCTGCATAGTAGAGACAATCTGAATTGTACAAAACTATCACAGTAGTAGAGTTCCTGATCATGTTAAAAATGGGGTATGTGTTTGTGTTGTCATAATCGACACAAGATTTGCAGAGATCAATAAAATGACTGACCTTTTGGGGGGCTGCAGGACACTGCACAACTTGGAAAACTGAAAAAAATAGAGACCTTTGGAAGCATTTTAAGCTTGTGTTTCCTTTTCAGATGGTTTACACTACTATACAGTACAGCAGTAGCTTATGGTATTTGTCATTTTATCTTTAGGAAAAGCCAAACAGAAAATGGAGACTTCAGGTAATAGCCAAGTTATCTAACACTAACAGTCACCAATGTGGATGCCTAACAATGCACAGCGTAAAGTACAATTAGATTTGCATTGGTAATGATGGACCAAGGCATATGACATCTTACACACCTTTTGGGTTAACTCCTTAGCAACAGTAGGGGAAAATATTCACTTTAATAATTTGACTAAAGACTGTTTTGATGAGCAGTGCCAATCAGTTTGATTGCCCCCCCCCCAATCACGTAACTTGGTAGTGAGTACTGTTACTAAACCCAAGTGTGTTACTGAGTGCACATACACCACAATATAATTATCTGATGGAATACTGCGTATTAAAGTAGGAATGTGAAGTAGTGTATTAAAACTGTTTTGCTGGGTTTAAAGAATTTTCTATGAATGGAAAGGAAGGCGGGAGTTTCAGAGGACATCAATGCAAAGAAAACTGTGAAAAATTATCACTTAGACTCTCTGTAAAGTTTTTTTCATAAGGGCAGAATGGCTTGACCTTCAAGTATTTTTATGTTTTGGAGATGTCCCTAGGTAGTAAGAATATCTTCACATTGGTATTTGAGTTACCATTACATTTATCTATCTTACCAGCTCTTGTCCCTTTGAAGGGTGAGTTGCTTTAGCGAGAAATGGAAGAAAAAAGCCTCTCTAAATAATTCAAAGTATAGAAGCCTCTGTTTTGATTAAAATTAAACATAAGATAGTCATGGAGTCTGTCTACTGAGGATATGAGAATAATTTGAGAAAGGCTACCAAAATTATTAGTTTCCTATAAATTCATAGTAACAAATCACTAGTTCCAAAAATGTTTTATGAAGGTGTGAAATTAATTTCATTTACTGCTTTAAAGATGTCATCTCTTCGCCCAGTATCCCCGTTGCACCACACTTGTTGAGGTTAAATTTTGGACTTTGTTACTGTTTCCAAAACAATGGACTGGTTTTCCATTTGCATGTGGATAACATGCCCTAGCTCATGTCTGATTCCCAGTATACGTCTGATCTTTGAAAAAATATTCTGAGTGGTTTTTGATATAAATGAATAAGCTTACATTTAAGAGAGCACCTAGAGGGATGAATATGACAAACAATGAAATAGACACTTCTCTTCCATCAGTAATCTACAGATAAATATCCCAATTTAATAATGTTCAACTTTTCAGGCGGGCATTGTCCAAGACAAATGCCCTGTGGATTTTTTTATTATTGTTTATCCCTAAACTGTAACCCACTAGGGATTTTTGTGTGGGTAAAACAGATTTTTCTTCTCAGCAGCTGGCAGGACAGGAAATAGAAGTAGAAAGCCCTCACTGAAATGTGTAAAACAGTTAAGTAAACCCGTTACTTAAAGCTTGGAAAGACAAAGTCTAGCCTTTATGTAAAGTTTATTTATGTGTTTTTAGTAACTGAATAGTTCTAATTCTGCAGCACCCTATTTCTAAGTATGTTTTAGATGTTCACTTTTAACCATCTCCTTTTGAGCAACCAGGTACAGATTTGGTTTTGGCCTTAAATTGTAGAGTCAGTTCATTGTCCTGAGTGAAGATGTGTCTGGATTTTCCAGATTTGTAGTTTAGCTAATCCCTAGCCACTGGAAAATATTTGTCCCACTCTTGGTCATGTATTTATTTTTCCCCCCCATGTCATAAATATCTATAAAGCATACCTGCAGATCTACCTAATGGAGCCAGAGCCCAGGATACCTGTATTAATCTGAATAAAAACTCCGTAGCTACCCAGACTTTGGAGATGCCACCTGTACCAGAATTTCCATCCACGCCTTTACCACCTATGAGGTCTGCTCCCTGGTCATTCCTAAGTCTGTTCAATAATTTTCAGCACTTAAGGCTCCCTACTTTATTAAGATACTTAATTCTGCATGCTAATATATGTGTTCCATCTTTGTAAATGTAAAATACTACTTGGCTTTCTGATTTTATGAGCAGCAGGACACTTCTCAACCTTCACTAAAAGCGTGACACTTCCTAAGTGTATTGTGCCTTATTTTATCCCCCTATTTGTATTTTGCTGTAAACTCCATGGGTTTTTTGTTTTTTGTTTTTTCAATTTACTAACACTTTAATGCACAGTGTCTCCTGTTCAGCATACTATTTCAATGTGGATTAAAAATCTCTTTCTCTGGGTGTCTCCATTTGGTTTTATTACGGTGAATGGAGTGAAAACGGTCCTAGACCAGAACCTGCAGCCGTGCTTTTGCCGATAGCAGAGTCCTCCCCTGGCAGTGTCCCCTCTCCCAGACTTTCTGAACACATTGCCGCAGCAGCTCCTGGGAGGTAAATCATTCAGAGGGGGTTTTGATTCAGCTAACGATCTATCTATATGTTGTTCTAGCCTAGATTTGTCTGTCTTGGCAGAAAGGGTTGTCTGTCATTCGCTTAAAATAAACTTTATTAATCTGCCGTGACTAGGGATTTTCCTGGAAATGGTAGGAGGGGGAAGGAGAAGAGAAATTAAATAAAGCTGGGCAGATTCATGGACAGTCTCGTGGATACCAGTTAAAATAAGACACGATATTTAGTGTGTGTCGATACGTTGTCAGTGGGTGTCACCTGGATGGAGTAACTTTCCAGTGGTCTCAACAACTCAAAAGTGAATGCAGATTTCTTTAACACACAGAAAGATGCCTTTAAAAATATTTAAAAAAAATTTAAGTAGTGGATTATTTGATTCATAACACTGCTGTGTTACGATGCAATCAAGGAAAACTAGATGATTATCTGGCAAACTTCCTATCATTGGCCTTGGATAGCTTCACTGGCACTTATCTTGGCAGATTGGTGATGTTTTGGAGGTCACCTATGGGTACTAGACAGCGATGGTAATTTTGGATGTAAGACAGTGACAGTAATTTGGAGGGTCATGATGCTATTGTTGAAAGTCAATAACATTTGTGATGGTTTGTG